AAGTCTTTTGATTAAATTTATTTTAACAAAGAGAAAGTTAAGTGTTGGTACAGTGGAGAAGTACCTTTATGGGGAACAACAATTTGATAATAGACTCTTCAGTTTAGCAGACAAAAGTACAAGATCTATTTGTAGGAAGCTGAAGCTAGAAAAATCCAGATTAGAAATAAAGAGCAAATTTTTTAAGTCAGAGTAATTAACCATTGGAACGCTTTACCAAGAAGAGTGGTAGATTTTCCATCACTGGTATTTTAAAATCATGATGGTATGTTTTTCTAAAAAGATTTGTTCCAGTACAAACACAAAATAGTTTAATTAATGAATTAATTCATTCATTCATTCAATTAAGGCCTATGGCTTAGGTTGTAGAGGAGAAAGGACCAGATGATCACAATGATTTCAAGAAATTTATGAATGATGTATGACACCATTTTTAAATCAGTCATTGTTTCCAAAACCAGATATCTAACATGGAAAGTAAGTGGCAGCCTAGTGCCCAAGTCAGACAGCCACCTAAATCAAATTTTGCTGTCCTTAGATGACATTTTTGGAGACCCCATAGGACACCTCTAAATCAGAATATAGCCTACAATTCCTAACCTACAAAGATCTATTTGTAGGAAGCTGAAGCTAGAAAAATCCAGATTAGAAATAAAGAGCAAATTTTTTAAGTCAGAGTAATTAACCATATCCCAGGCTTTATTTGCATGTTCCTGGGCGCTGCCATTTTTAAATGCCCGGTAGTTCGGATTCCATGCCTGCGGCGACATGCGGCACAGGCTAGGTAGTTCGAATTAAAGCCCCTAATTCTGACTACCGTTACTTCTCATTGCAGAAGGAGTAATGGTAGTCCGAATTAGGGGCTTTAGTTCGAACTACCTGGCCCATGCCACGTGTAGCTGCGGGTAGGGAGTCTGAACTACTCGGCATTTAAAAATGGCGGCGCCCAGGAACATGCAAATAAAGCCCAGGATATTTTAATCCCGGGCTTCATTTGCAAGTTCAAATGACTACATTAGCCACCCTAGTTCGAACTAGGGTGGCTAGTGTAGACATACCCATACATTACGAGTTTGTATGCTCCATGCTATTCACACTAATCTGATAGTTTGATTCATTAAATAATTGTAAAATCTTCTCAAACATTAAATTATTTTTAAATGTGATCTCACAGCAGAGATCCTGTTGTAGTTCAGATTTCAGAGGGGCCTGAGTTGCAAAGTTTGCATCTAGTCGTTTAAACATTCTTCTATAAGGCTAGTGGTTATTATAATAAATGCATTATAGACTCCTTGAATCATATAATTAGCTAAAAATCACAGCTTTTATTTTTGCAAGTAAGTTTCTTATCTTCATGGATGGGAAGAAAAACTTGAAATTTGTGTACAGCGGGTAACTGATGCAAACATATACATCTGAGTCTGCAGACAGCCTGAAACAAGGTCTCTAAAACAGGGAATTAATTCCATGAATTTCAATGAAATGTTAACTCCAAAACTGAGTGCTCTGGGGAACCTCACCAACATAACATAAGGAGAGAATTAAGTACACGATAGGAGGGAAGGGAGTGCAATGGCTTGGCCCAGCTGCCCAAGCAGATATACCTCAGCTGCTGAGGTAAATAGCAAAAAACCCTATGTGCTGCCAGGAATGAGAGGAATCCTGCTGCCACCCATGTTTCTTTTGAAGGGAGAGGGGCCTCCCTTGTTTCTGCTGCTAGAGCCCTGGAATTCCAGTATCCTCAAAATATGGAGGTGTCTGGGCTATATATTTGGTTTAGCATGACAAAAAACATACTATATAAATTCAGTATTCACATTCTTGGGAAGAGCTGTGCAGTAACAAATACATATATAAACACACACCACTGGCCATCATCTACAGTCCTCAGCTAAAACCTTTCCAACGCATCATCAGTGATCTACAACTCATCCTGGACAATGATCCCTCACTTTCACAGGCCTTGGGAGGCAGGCCAGTCCTTTCCCACAGACAACCCGCCAACTTGAAGCATATTCTCACCAGCAACTATACACCGCACAACAGTAACTCTAACTCAGGAACCAATCCCTGCAACAAACCTCGGTGCCAACTCTGCCCACATATCCATACCAGCGACACCATCACAGGACCTAACCAGATCAGCCACACCATCAGGAGAAGCTGTTCTGGATTTGGTTTTAACAAATAGGGAGGAACTAGTTGAGAACTTGAAAGTGGAAGACAGTATAGGGGACAGTGATCATGAAATAATAGAGTTCATGATCTTAAGGAAAGGTAGAAGGGAGACCAGCACAATTGAGGTAATGGATTTCAGGAAGGCAGATTTTGATAAGCTCAGAGAACTTGTAGGTAAGGTCCCATGGGAAGCAAGACTGAAGGGAAAAACAACTGAGGAGAGTTGGAAGTATTTCAAAGGGACGTTGTTAAGGGCCCAAAAGCAAACAATTCCGCTGTGTAGGAAAGATAGAAAATATGGCAAAAGACCAGCTTGGCTTAACAAGGAGATCTTGCATGATCTCAAAATAAAAAAGGAGTCATATAAAAAATGGAAACTAGGACAACTAACAAAGGATGAATATAGGCAAGCAACACGGGAATGCAGGGGCAAGATTAGAAAGGCAAAGGCACAAAATGAGATCAAACTAGCTACAGGCATAAAGGGAAACAAGAAGACCTTTTATAAATACATTAAAAGCAAGAGGAAGACCAAGGACAGGGTAGGCCCACTGCTTAGCGAGGAGGGAGAAGCAGTAACAGGGAACTTGGAAATGGCGGAGATGCTCAATGACTTCTTTGTTTCGGTCTTCACCGAGAAGTCTGGAGGTGTGCCTAACGTAGTGAATACAAGCAGAGAGAGGGTAAGTTTAGAAGATAGGATACACAAAGAACAAGTTAAAAATCACTTAGGAAAGTTAGATGTCAGCAAGTCACCAGGTCCTGATGAAATGCATCCCAGGATACTCAAGGAGCTGATAGAGGAGGTATCTGAGCCTTTAGCTATGATCTTTGAAAAATCATGGCAGACAGGGGAGATTCCAGAAGACTGGAAAAGGGCAAATATTGTGCCCATCTATAACTCCTCCCAGAAGTCGTGCTGGCTCTGCTCCAGCAGGTGGGCGAAGCGCCGGACGATGCTCAGTGGCGGGTCCTTGGCGTGGACTGGCAGAGGAACAAAGGGAAATCTCTCTTGAAGGAGGTTAAAAAACTACTAGAGGGCTTGCTTCTCAGTCCTGCTCAGGGCCAGCATAAAGCGAGAGGGAACAGGCCCTAAGAATCACCACTGCACCAGGGCCTCCCCGGCTGGCATGGAGCTAGAGTAAGGGCACTTGCTCCCGGCATGGGCGTGAATAGGGGGTGAAGCCAGGGCGTGCTGGCTAACTGCTTATTCCCAGGATGCAAAGCCTGAGTTGGTAGAGCAGCCCTGAGGCTGCTCTATCTTACACCAGGGGGCTGCAAAGGCAGCTTCAAGTCCATGCCCCAAGCGTACTAACGGTAACGAGGAGGCAACACCCTTGCAATTAATTAGTGCCACATCTGTATGAGAAAAAATAACCAACCACACAGAGAAGCACTTACCCAACATCCTGTAATTCCCACGGGCCTTGTTAGCTCTCACAAAAGCCTGGATTTTAATTACAGCATTAATCTGCCAAGACAAACAAAAGAGAAGAGGGAAGTGTTCCTAAAGCATCCCTATGGCAGGCAGCAAGTGTGAAGAGTACACACGCACCAGCCATGCAACTAACAAGCTGATTAGCTGAGACATCAGGCAGAGGGACCCTACTAGAGAGTCAACTCCTAGCCCCTAGCCAGAGGCCTGAGGAAGTGGTCTGAGCATGGGACAGGGAGTCAGGGTTGTTGGGTTTTAATCCTCGATGGGGGGCTGTGTGCCATCAGGCAAGCCATTGACCTTTTCTGCCTCAGTTTCCCCTTATCTGTAAAATGGATTTACTCTCTTTCAGGTCACAGGGCATGCGTGAAGGTTTATCGGTTTGCAGAGTGCAGCGGGTAAAACTTCCAAAAGCATCTAAGCCAACAGGACTTAGGAGCCACCGTCACTTCGATGTCTTTGAAGATTTTTACCCTGGATCTTATTGGGAGTGGCTTACTTCAGGAACAGCTCCATTTGGCAACATGCTGAATGAACTTGATGCTCAGCTGGTCAGTGTTTATATTGGAATAAATTGCCAAGGGAGGTGGTGGAATCTCCCTCTCTGGAGATATTTAAGAACAGGTTAGATAGACATCTGTCAGGGATGGTGTAGATGGAGCTTGGTCCTGCCTTGAGGGCGGGGGGCTGGACTCGATGACCTCTTGAGGTCCCTTCCAGTCCTATTATTCTATGATTCTATCACTGGCTCATTCACCTACACATCTACCATTGTAATATACGCCATCATGTGCCAGCAATGCACCTCCTCTATATACATTGGCCAAACTGGACAGTCCCTATGCAAAATAATAAATGGACACAAAACAGATATTAGGAATGGCAATATACAAAAACCTGTAGGAGAACACTTCAGTCTCGCTGGATTCACAAGTGCAGATCTAAAGGTAGCCATCCTGCAGCAAAAAAACTTCAGGACCAGACTTCAAAGAGAAACTGCTGAGCTACAGTTCATCTTCAAGTTTGACACAATCAACTCAGCATTAAACAAAGACTGTGAATGGCTCACTAACTACAAAAGCAGCTTCTCCTCTCTTGGAATTCACACCTCCAGATCAGCTACAAGAAGTGGGCCTCGTCCTCCCTGATTGGATCCACCTCGTCATCTCCAGCCTGATTCTGGCCTGCATATTTATACCTGCCTTGGGAAATTTCCACTACATGTATCTGACAAAGTGGGTCTTTGCCCACGAAATGTTAGTCTATAAGGTGCTACAGGACTCCTTGTCGCTTTTGCAAATAAATATATGGAAACTACTGTTCTGTACTTGAAATTTAAGAAAACATTAACATTACTACCAAAAAGACAGTTTATAACTTCTCTTACCTGTAACTCGAAGTTGGCTTGGTCAAGAAATTTTTTGTTTAGCATATCTGCGTACTGATTAATTGCTCGCAGGAAGACTCTGAAAGATCAAGAGAAAATTACATAATTACACACTTGTACTTTGGCACCTTTGTAAGTGTGGCATCTCAATTAGATACAAAACTGAGACTATCTGGAAAGTGATAGCTGTAGCAGTTATTTGAAAAGCAGTGTGATCTCACCCCTGTTAAGCATACCGAATTATATGCAGATGTTCTCAAAATTAATCAAGTAAATTAGCATATGCAGAATAAAGAAATAGAATCAATGTTTTGGATAAAATCACTTCTCTTTAAAATACAAGATAATCAAGTGAACATTAAAAATTCATTTATAAAAAGTGCAAATTCATTACTTTTTAAAATCCAAGTGTTTTAATGTTACATATTTAGCATTAAACTGTATCTTAACTATTAGCTCACATGACACATTTTAAACTAATTATTAACCATTCACTATCTTAGGGTGTGTCTGGACTACAAGGTTTTTTCGAAAAAAGTAGCCTTTTTTCAAAAAAACTTCACCTGTGGCTAGACTGCAGCTGCGTTCTTTCGAAAGTAAATCGAAAGAACACAGTGATTTTTTCGATCGTGGTAAACCTCAATTTACGAGGAATAACGCCTTTTCTCGAAAATACTCTTTTGAAAAAAGGCACTATTGAATGCAAACTGTGCTTTTTCGAAAGAAAGCATCTAGACTCTTTCAAAAAATCTGCTTGTAGTCTAGATGATCTTTCGAAAGAAGCTTTTTTGAAAGATTCTTTCAAAAAAGCCTCTTTCGAAAGAGGCTTGTAGTCTAGACGTGGCCTTACTGATGGCACAATGGCCCAACGTACATATCTGGAGCTTGAGAAAAATATTTTCAGGCTGTCTTGTCCAATGCTGTACTTTAAAATGAGAAACTTCTTAAATAGTGGTAGGTTTTGCTTTGAGAAGCTTTAAAAATAAAAACTTTTAAGTAGGATAAGTAGATCTCTACATATTCATAATGTGAAAGAATAAACACATTATTCTTTAGCCTCTTCGTTTTTATTTTTGAGACAAGCATTACATTCCAGGTGTAAATTTATTCTAGCTGTAAATTGCTTAATTGATGCTATTAGACTGTCAAACTAAAGCCTGGGTAAAGGAACATGTCCTTTGAGCAGACTGTACATACTGCAGATTTTATTACTTTTCAAAGCACGTGCAATAAAAAAGGCAAGTTACAATGCATTGATCTAAGGGCCTCTCTCTTTTAGCACAATAACAATCTGTCAAGGAGAATCCACATTAGGATACTGATGATAAACTTAATTATTCTTTCTATATTTCAACAGCAAGCAAGAGAAAATTTAAGAAAGTTAGGGAGGGACTCATGATATACTGACATCTGGACATTTCTTTCATGGGAATTAAGAGCCTTACCAACATCTGAACAAAATGAAAGACCCACTCTCTTTGCCACATCTCTCTCACAATTAAAGGAAATTACTCCCCAAGTGGCACATACATAGCAAGACAGGAAAGAATATACAGATTACTTGCTTGGATTTACTTAATTTCTTAAGACTTTCTGATACCATTCTGATGAGCATGATACAAATACCTGTATATATGATAGACAGATCAGATACCTGATGTAATATTATTATTTAAAAATTAAATATATTGTAATATATATGACAGTTCATGGGAAAGATTCTTATGACAGACAATTATGCCTAAAAACTACAGTGATATTCCATTTGCCTACTAATCTTTAATAGTAGAATAAAGTTCAAAATTACTTTAATGTTCTTTTTCTTTGGTCTTACACTAAACTCTTTTTCTCCACTTTTCATATGTGCAAATTTTGCACCAGCACTTTTCAAAAAAACACAGAAGTATATGCACGTGCATTCCCGCTATGAAAATATACATGGGAATATTTGCACGAACATGTATGTCTGCATTAGATATAATATTTTGGGACAAATTTATGTAATGGATTTTATAAGTGGGATGAATTTAGTGCAGACTGAAAATAAAACTGGAGAAATATATGTAGATTGTACAATGATTCAATTACTGTTCTGGGATATATACAAAGACTGATTATCTTTCCAAATAATTTAATTATGCTGTCTCAAGATATCCCATAGCCATCTGTTGGGTAAGATGAATTGGGGCAACTAGTCTGGGCCCCTTGTTGTAGGGGGCCCTTCAGGCCAGTGCAACTGGCCATCATGTTCAGTCTTGGAAGATGAATCTGACACTTCTGCAGGGCCCACCATCTTTTTGGCACTTAGCAGAGACAGTGTCCAACTTGGCTGCCCACACTTTAGTGCTGAAAGTCCCCTGACCTTTGAACTGAGAAAAAAATGGAAGCTTTTAAAAATTAGGAGCAAATGAAAATACTGGTTGAACTTCTGCGGTCCAGGACTCTCTGGTCTGGTATCATGACCGCAGATGTTGCGGGTCTAGAGGCTCCCAGCAGCAGAGGTTGCCAGTGGCTAGGAGGGGAGCCAGCCGGTGGGGCCAGTGGAGCCTGCGGGGCAGAGAAGCTATCGAAGGAGCTGGCGGGGCTGCTGCTAGGTCAGCTGGGCTGCTGGAAGCTTCCGTGGTGCTTCCACAGCTTGTGAAGTTGGGAGCACTGGCAGAGCTGCTGCAGCTTGCTGGGCCGGGAGGCTGGAGAGAGGAGTCCAGTGGGGAGGCTGGTACCCTCCCCCCTCCAAGACATCCTTTTGTCCAGAAAACTCCCTTGTCCAGGACCAGACAGATCTCAAACGCGCCAGACTGTGGAGGTCCAACCTGTAGTGGCTATAATGAAGTCAAGTTGCAAACTTAATCATATTGTTTGTTCCAGCCTGTTTCTCAGATACCACTCTGCTTTTTGGTAAAACTGTAACTAAGTTTGCTTTTGTTTGTGGACATTTTTGTACACAAACACAAAAATGACTGTCAGTAAACAAAAATGTTATGTTTTAGGCTAAAAATAGGAAACTTAAGGTTAGTTTTCCCATTAAGGTAGCAAATTTAAAATAAGAGGCATATAATGTGAAAGTTATGTATGTATCTTTATCAAATGTGGGTATAGAGAGACTTTATACATATTTAAAATCTTGGTCAAAATACCAGACAACAGAGAGGGAGGGAAGGAAGGAGGGAAGAGTAAATTTAGACGTGGTCTACCCAGAGATTTACACAAGTGCAATTTTTAATCAATTTAGTTCAATTGGTACAACTCTGTATATAGACAAATAAAATATTATTTAAACTTGGTTTATATTGATGTAGGTTGCTGTAGGGACAACCACTGATATAACAATAACAGTGTCCATACAAGGGCTTTGTACTTCAACTGGAACAAGTTGCATATAAGTAAGCACATCACTGAGACCTACTGCCCTTATATCTGGCCTTTTGTTTTGTGTCCCATCTCCTGACCCCGAGTATTGACCAGTTCAAAACAGAATAGTCTTCTTGCAGCCGTGTCTCAATTTTACTATTTTAGTGCTTGAGTCTATTACCATCTCAGTGCCTCTCTTCACAGCTGTCCCCTTACTTATTAAAATGTTGCCATTTTCTGCTATCCCACCACCCTTTTTGGAAGTAGAATTTCTTCAGCTGATGTAACTGGCACTTAGCTTCATGGTCAGACAAAGCCCAGGGATGTTAGGATGGCTGCCATGGAGCTGCTGAAGAAAGCTGCAGCAGCAATTATTTAAGGACTAAAGCTGTCTGGAAAATGACAATTCCATTTCAAGGCAACTTTCAAGATTTCAAAATCTGTTTTTGTTCCATATTGGAACAACACCAAAACTTTTAGAGCATTCATTCATTAAATGGAATTGTGTCAAAATGTCTGTGTTTGGATCGAAACTGGAGCTTTTCGATTCAACACTGGAATACTGACAGAACTTTTACTGTGGCATTGTGGAAGGATGATGATGTCAGATATTTAGCATAAAACTATTCCAGAATACAAAAGTACTGCATAATGAAAAGCAATATCTGCAGTGCAATAAAAGTAACATCCTCCCTGAATAATTATGAGTTAATTGAGGAAAGAGGAAGTTAGAAAGGGGAATAATCAGAAACCAATTTAACTGCTATTGCCTCCTGGCACAGTTAAAGTTACTAAAATGACATTTGTTATGATCAAGCCCACAGCACTTTCTAGCATATCTGTTACCAACTGTTTGGTGCCAATAAAACACAATTTTTGATGATACATGATCCTATAAGAAGCAGAAAAGATCTAACTTTGAGTAGAAATGCTAAAGCCAAATTTTGTTTTTTATTAAACTTTGGGACAGAGGATAGTTGAATTCTGCCAAGTATTTCCAGGTGTATTTTGGCTGACTGTAAAATGTACGCCTGAAGCAAATTTCACATATATGTGTGTTTTTCACAAATATTCATCAACGTATGTCTTATTTGCAAGAATGCTCACAGAAAGTGGAAGTGTTCATATCACAAGTGGTGTTCTGCATAGGGTGGAATACCAGTTGGTATGGCAGGATCACTGGGGACTTGATTCACCACTGCATTACTTCCGTTTTACCAAAGTGTAAATTAATTTTGCAATAGATTTATATAAACAGAAATCATAAAACTGGAGGGATGCAATGATAAATGAATACCGTGTTTTTCAAAACCCCCAAACAACAGCCATAGTAGAGAGGCAAACATACCTGGCTAGGATCTGAGCAGAAACTTCACAGCTAGTACCATGAACATATACACAATTATTTTGTGTAAATGTGATATGGAAAATTAACTTCCAATACTGTACCAAGTCAATGCTTTTTTTTTTTTTAAACAATAACGTAGTTCTTCTAATACTAATGTCTGATAAGAGTCCATAAGCTAGAAAGGAAAAAGTTTATAGTTTTCTTTAAAAAAAAAATGCCTAAACCAGCTTGTCTGTTCTCTTTTCCATGAGCTGCTACCGGTCCTTGGCAGTTTTAAAACTTTACTGTCTTCTTCAAGACCTTCTCCTGGTTTTAAGAGTTATATTCATCCAATAAGGAATTAGAAACTATACAAATAAATATGTGATTTATGGGACCAATTT